ATTTGGGCCTATTTTCACATGATTTATTCACTGATTTTTGCTAGTTTGGTGAGATTACATTTGCTTCATATACTTGCCATGTAAACCATGATTGTTAGTCAAGATTGCATGCTATTTTGTCCACCATGCTAGCATCTTTTGGCCATGCTTTGAACTGGAAATGTTCATGTTTTTGGATTTCCTTGGCTCTGTCTTCATGCTTCATGATCAAATAATGCATGTTTTGTATAGCTATAAGTCATTCCATGTGCCTAGTTTTGAGTTTCGGGTTTTATCTCATGCATCGGGTGCCATTTTTCCATGTTTCGGGGCTGTTTAGCATCATATTTCAGTGCTGGAATTTGTGAGTTTGCATTCCATCTTGCATCCCTTGCCATGCCTTGTTAGAGTTACATGTTATGCCTTAGGTTCGGTCCTCGGTTTGCGTGCATGCGTGCACGCTTTTCGAGAGTCTCATTTTCACCTAATGGCTACTGATGTGAGTGTGGCTGAGGTCCACTCATGTTGGTGTAAGTCCATCGTGCATTGTGTATGCCATTTCATTTCGCAGCATTGTGTATGTTAGGTTGTATGTTAGAGCATTGTGTATGCCTCGTTACATCGTGCATTATGTATGCCATTTCATAGCATTGCGTATGCTAGGTTTCATGTTAGGATTGCATTCACGGATGTCATGCATATTGCATAGTGCTTGGGATAAGAGTTAGCCCAAGCATGGGAAACGAGGGACGTTTCGTACTCCGAGTGACGGAACGTGTCTCAATTCCCGGTCGCCGACACTCCGGATTATCCATGATGGAGTCTAGGCCTTATTGTGTCCATATGTGCATTCATTTCATATTGAGTCATGCAATTCGACTTCTCGGCCATCATGCATCGAGATGCGTGATTGGTGACACGAGGATCGAGGACTACACTCCCTGAAGAGTAGTCATGCATACATATGTGAAAATACTTTGCCATGCCCCTTTATTGTTCTCTGTTGCAGCAAATCAGAAATCAGCAACCTTCCGGAGCCTGGCACATATCCCAAGAATAATTGCAAACAGAGGCAAACCGGGGCATCGCAAGGGATTCTCCGCACAAGGCAACCCGAGCATGCATCATTCATCATTTGGAACAGAGCTGAGGCGGTCCATGGATTTGCGTGCCAATTTACTGCTTTTCCTAGATTAATTTGCTAATTAATTAGGATTCTGTATTTATTCGGGACTGTATTATTTATTCATTTGGGACTATATTATTTATTCGAACCCTCTGCGCGAGGGCAATGTTGTAATAAGTGTGCGTGTGTGTGATGTATGTCTTCCAACCCCACGTCTTTCTCCCTTTTATTTATCAGCTTATGATGGTTAGATTAGGGCATGTTTCAATTAGCATTCAGTATGATAGCATGTTTGCATTCATTCATCTGTCTTGCTTGCACCGGGCTCGGCGCATCATACTAACTGCATTTGTATTTCAATTCCAAAGTTGAATACATGTTAGTTGTAGCATCATCACATGCCATCTTAGAATAGCCGAGCCTATAATAGTTGCATTCTTACATGTGTTGCATTAGGCATCTCAGCATATTTAGGATTCATGCATGATTTCTAATTAGCTTCTTTCTTTGGCTTGGAGTACTAGGTAAGCTTTTATTCTTTAGCATACCGCATGTGTGTGAGTGCTTGCCATGATAGCATGCTTACCATGAGGCTATATGCTTATATGATATAACTGCTTGAATGCCTGCGGGTGAAGGCTCGGTTATTTGAATTGGAACAATTCGTTGACTATGAGTTTTAAGCCCACTAGATAGTGTCAAAATCATGTTTTCTAAGCCCATTCGAGGGTGACAAATCTGCATCTTAGCCTACTTGTGGGTAGCACCATCAAACCATTTTCAAATAAATAAACATGAAATGTTTTGTTCTAATTCAGGCGATCCAGTCTATACTTGTATGTTGTGCGCATCACATAGTAAATCTAGTCTAATAACCGGAATAAGAACGCATAATGTTTTCAAAAATAGATATCATGGTTAGTAGAGGCCGATCTTTGATCGGGTGAGCGGGGGTGCTCACGAAGTGACCTTCCCCAATCGTACCCAAGTTCCCGAGCTGAGGCAACTTTGGTGATGACGGACACGTGGCCTTAGGCAACGAGTCAGGGTTTCCTAAATTTTCCAAAAATAAAATATTTAGGTGGCGACTCTGTATCTGGCAAAGCAATCCATGTTTGGCACTTCTTTCAAAAAAATCTATTTTCTCAAAACGATTTGCCGGATTTGGACTCTTTGGTTCAGATTAAGAACCGTGACAATTTGAGTCCGAACTGTAGTGAACCCCAATACGAACAGAACGGGACTCATCCTTCCGGGACGTTCGGGGACGTCTACAATACCAAGCGAAGGGTGCCCCAGTTAAAAAATTTAGAAACAGTCTCAATTTCATGTAGTCATTATTAGCAAGCTCACCACACTGGTATGTAAACCTAGCAATGTGTTCTACTGTGGACTGGTTTCCATTTCCATAAAAAAGAGCAAAGTCTGGCATTCTAAACCTTCTTGGGTATTCATGCGCCCTATCTACCCACTCTTGGTAAGGCTTTCTCTATACAAGAGTTTGGACCCCTCAATCCATGGGGTCCATATATCTCTCTAACGATATCAACAATTTGGTCCATGGGAACCATGTTTTGTGTTGGTTGGATCACCACTGAAGGGGCAAACACAGGGTTTGGAGGAACTTCGTGTGCCTGAAGGCCTCGTGGTCTACACTAAGGTACATTTGGTTGCACCGGTTACTGCTGAGGGTGTGGCTGGCCTCTTGGGGCCTACCCTGCAAAAGGTGCTATAGGAGGAAGAATAGGTTTTGGTTCTCTTCCAACAATAGAAAATCCTTCCAACCCCCTGGGTGTAAATTCAAACATGGGATTGGTGAACATGAGTGCACCAGGCATGGTTTTGAACATGGGATTCAAAATTACCCTCATGCCATTTCCTTGTGGCATTCCAAACCCACCAATTTGCATGGTTTCGCTGGTGGTTAATGGTACATTTTGGTTTATCATTGGTCTTGGAGGAGCTTCATACCATGATTGAGGCACAGGTGATTGGCTTTCATGGTTTTGACTACTAGTCTGACCATTATTATGTCCATTATTTTTGCATAGGCTGTTTATCTCGAGCCAATCTTTGTGTATTTTCTTCGCCCTGCCTTATGGCAGTTGGTTGATAAGAATTCATTCGATCCAAAACGGATGTTGCCCATCTTTCCATTGTATACATTGACTGTTGACCCATAGCATCTACCTAACCTCCCAATGGATTCATTGGTTCGGTAGAAGGAACAATGGATGGTCCAGTTCCATGGCCTTGTCCAATGTTTTGGACATGTGTTCACTACAACAAAAAAGGGTTTTTACGGTGCGCAATGCACGTCGTAAAAATCCTTTTATGACGTGCAGCGCGCGTCATATTATGACCAGCCATGGAAAGTCATTCACTTTCAACGACATGTTTCGTACGCCATTAAAAACTATTTAACAACAGATCTTGTGCGTCGTCATTACTTTTTCTACGACATGCTATAGTAAGCCGTTAAAAACTATTCAATGGCAAATTTTGTACGCCGTCGTTACTTTTTCTACGATTTCTATTGCACGCCGTTAATTGGTGAGACAAATAACAACGCTGATTGTGCGCTGTAAAATATGTAATACAACGACTTATTATGCCTGCCGTAGAATATGCAGTTTTTTTTTTTTTAAAAAAAAAATAAAAATTCAATAGGTTCTATTTGACCAATTTTGTACAATCAAACAAATATTACAAACAAACATCACAAAACATCAATCAACCACCAAAATATTGTTTGAAACATCAAAAAGAAACTATATCCATAAATTATAAACATTCAACAATTGTCTATACATTCCAAACATTCGAAAACTATATCCTTAAGTTCTAAACTGTACAAAAAGTTCAAACCAGCCAAAACTATGCATATCTAAAGTTCTAAACATATCGACAACTATTAAGAGATTGTCTAAAACTGCGACAACAGTTCCTATAGCAATTGCAGCTGCAGCTGTAGCTGTAGCAAATCCATTTACTCCTATCACAGGGACGAGGGTGTCAAATGTATGTGTTAAGGCACCCAAACCAGCGGCAATAGCTGGGGCAACTAACCCTATTGCATTTCTTGTCTGCATGACAAAGGAAACTTCACATAAGTACAAAAACCAACAACTCAGGGACAAAAATATTTCTTGAGGTATCAAAAAATGATCAAGAAATTTTAAAACATCAACAAAATATTTCCAAAATTAATAAGATAATTAAATTACCCCATAAAAGCAATGTCATAATGAAAATTAGAAAAAAATTCAAGATCTCAATAGTCTTAACGTATGTGCAAATAAAATTCACATGAAGCAAAACTTTTTTTTTCATACCTCAAATGAAGTTACCTTTTTGTTGCAATGTTTCTGGAGGAAAATGAGTAGGAATCTTCAAACAAACCATTAAGACATTCAGATAAGGATAACTCTTTCATCCTCAATATTCATGCTTAAATATTAGTTGGAATCAACTCCCCAACACCACTAATGACATCCTTCCCATGCAGTTTGAAAGGATTTTGATGTAAAGTAATACACTCCCTCTCTACATCTAGGAATTTTAAATCACAAAGCTCCATCTACTATAAAAATCCGCCTAACTAAGTGGCAAGCATATCTTTCTAACAATTGGATTCATAGATTAGGAAAATAGCATAAACGAAAACACTACTTCCATGACTACTAAAAATATCATAAGATTTACAACTCAGGCAATGTATGTATGGTATAGTACTAGCTTCTAATTATATTAGCAAATTATTATAGAAAGTATATAGCAATTTACTAATTTAATAGTGCCACACCATGTTATTGGCAATTGCTAGAGTATATGAAAGCCTAATAGAGAACTGACATGAAGATGAAATCTCTTTCTGTGAGAAAAGGTCAAAAGAGTCAGCTTCGATTGTTTTTCCATCAAGAGTTCTAACAGAATAAAAGCAACATCCAGCCTAAGAAAAAAATAACAAGCTTTTTCCCACCCTATCAAAAATAAGAGCTAAAGTACTTGAAGGATAAAGAAGTACCAGGTTAAAGGAGATACCACTTCCATAGTGTCATTCCCAAGATCCATTCCACCCATAGAGAGAGCGTTCATACATACCTACACAATCATCTCAGTCGACAGTAGAACATTGAAAGAGTTAACATACAAATAATCTAACAAATTTGAATTGTTAGGAGAAAATAACAGCAGAATCTTCAAGCATTCTAGTTTCAAAGATGCATCCAATTTGAAAGTCACTTCAATGGAGAACTAGAGAGAAATTATACACCAAACTAGAAAAATAGATTATGACATCAATGTGGTAGAAGTAGGGCAACTATCAACATGAAAACACAATGCAATGTTCAATAACAAAGAAGAGAACACTCCAAGACTGCAAGTACTTTAAAAGAATTCCAGATATATAATTTACTCCCTAAATGAAGTACAAAAATGAAGAACCTATACCATGTAGGTGTTTTTATCCTCCATCACATTGAACTTTCTAAGAGTAGAACTGATGCATTTGTTATGACATTTCTCTGTGGTGGGCCAAAAATGATGAGTGGCCTGAAAAGAGATATTAAACCCCAAAAGAAAAAGTACATAAGATGGCAAGAAAATATGAATCTCTTATTTGAAACTCTTGCCAATATGAATCTTAGCATACTTTAACTATCCAAGACATTGTTGGATCATCATTGTTAGCAGGTCAAAAATAAAGCAGATTTATTTATCAAAAACAAAAAATAAAAAAAATAAAGCAGTTTTACTTGAATTTCGAAGTATTTCTACTCTTCTAAGAATAATTCAGTTCCGGATAAATATTGTCTGCAGAACATTGGTCCTGTTTTAACTTTTGTACTAGTTGAATCTAAAATAAAGAAGGGAAAGGATAACTGAGAGATTGGAACCTTGGAATACCTGGTAGAGAGCTAACTCATAATATTGAACAGCCTCCTCAAATGTACAAAGGGAAGAGTCATCACATACCAATGTTGCAGCTAAATTAGATATACCTTCAAGTTCATCTAACTCAATCTATTGAAAAATATTCTCATTTCAGTATACATGTGCAGAGCAGCTCTCCACTGAGGAACAAAGAAACAAACACATAACCTAACAGAATCTAAATCCCAGTTCTTTGCTAAAATGAAAAGGACATATACCAAAACACAGATGTAAACTAGTTTCAATGGATAATAATAGACATGGTATGGAAAAGAAAAAATGAAAGCACAGGACAGTAACAAGAATAAATGTGGAAAAGAATGTAAGGTTACCTCAGGTATAAAAAGGTAAAATGAACCTCTTGTGTACTTCATGGAAGATGACTATATCAAAATCAACATCTATAAAACCATAAGCCCTTACAAGTGTTGAATCTAGTGAGAGATATCTGTAAAAAAACCAAACAGGGGTTCATCAACTCATTAGCATAAAAGTTGAAATACCTACTGATGTGTCCATAATATTATCAACAGTGCACCTTTTAGAAAAGATCATCCAAAATTGGTGCTTACAGCATGCATGGGTGACAAATCATGCACTTGCTCAAAGGGACCATGGCTCTGAAATCCAAATCTCATGAAAAAACTTTGTTGGGTGCGTTACTTTTGACCATCATTGAACCATACCAAGCACGAAAAATTTAAGTCCATGTTGTTTAAATGCATATTATTCACTAGAAAGTGCTAAATATGGGCACGCCAAATGTACCCATGCATGCACATCTACATAAGATCAGCCCAAGAGCTCATCTCACCTTCGTGATCAAGAAATGTGGAGAACAAATGAAAGAAATTGTACATTCGAAACTGCAATGAGCAGTCTTCATTCACATGTGGGTTGCCTATCTCACATCATTAAAATAAACTTCCCTTCTGGTCCAACAATTTCAGAGAACCTCTGGTGCCCAAATATCTATTTTGGTCCGCAATTCCGCTTGAGCACCTCTGGTGCCATGTAATATGGGCTTCCAACAATTTCAGAGAAACTTTCACCTAAAAATGTTTGAACAAATTAGAGCTAAATAGCGTAATTGCAAATACACAAATAAAAATAACTGGCCTCTTTATCTTCTCTTTTTACTTCGACTACACTACCAAAACAAAAAATGCTGGGAATGCATATAGAGAAGCTTAAATGAATATGCATTCTTGGAGTCTTCACTGCTTGAAGTCTTGGCATATTAATGACCAGGCAGAACAAAACTTGTTTATATATAGGGTATGCATATTTAATGGGGTGTCTACACCTTCATATTATTAAGATGATAAAGTCTGAAGTTTCCAACAACTTATTATGCATAAAAGATAAAAGAAACTCACTCAAATGGCTCAAAATATCTTCTACTTTTCTTCATGAATGAAGTCTTAAAAAGGCTATGATGCAGCATCACAAATTGCTACAAATTTCTCTTCATCAGACAAATCTATTAGTTGAAGAGAGCTTGGACAAGCACTCTAATAAAAAATCAAACGGCTGAAATAATCAAATTTAATAAACTATTAAGTGAAACCATGAATTCCAATCTGTTGTTTTAAGCAAACATAGCTAGTTTTTGGACTTGGTGTAGACACCCCATTTTTGACCGACCTTAAGACTCAAACGTCACCGATTGAGCGCTTGGTGATGTTGCATATCATGCTCGTTCAGAGGTTTCAGAGTCTCGGCTGCGAGCCTTGCCTCCGGACTTCCGGACTCTTTCATGCTTTGCCTCGGTTTGCGAACCGGGCTCTGTTTTCTCTATTTTCTCTTCCCGAAGGGAGGGAGGGGTCTCGTAGATCATCTGTCAGTGGCCGTAGGCTATGTTTCGTGGTCGTAGGCCATTTTTCCCGTTTGGAGCCCGGTTTTCAATTTTTCAGAGCCGACGGCCGTGTGCATCTTATTTGATCCCTTTTGAGGGACACTGTGATTCGAGAGACCAACTTCGTGGTCGAACACCACTTCAGGTGCCTAGCAGTCAGTTTTCGGGGCCTCGGGCTGCGCGTTTCGGCCCCCGAACCTCCATTTTGCATCGGTTTAAGTTCATTTTTGGCAGGGACCTCTGTTTCATTGTTAGAAAGGTCGTAGAAGGGTAGGAGGCCAGTAATTGTTCTGACAACCAGTTTTATTCCTCCATCGCCCTCCGTCGCCCGTTTTTCTCACTTGAAAGCCAATGCTGACCACCTTAAGGCCACTTTTTCCAGCCCTAAACCACATATTTGTGTTGTACACACCTGGGAAGCCACCAATATCACATGGCCGGCCAATAATTGTGTGTGACCCTTTTGAACCCCTCCTAAAAGTGGGCTTTTCTCTCTCCTGGTTTACTTTCTCCAGTTTTTGACCACATGGTTGTGTTGTACACACATGGGAGGCCACCAATCTGGGGTGGCCGGCCACTAAAACTTCTTGAGCCTTTTGACCCTTGGCCAGCCGGCCATGCGGAGGGCCGGCCGGCCACCTGCAACTTAGATACCCAGCCGGCCATGATCCCCTCCTCTGGTACATTACAAATATGTATTCTGTTTCCCCCCAGATTGTGTATCCGGGGGGGCTGCCCTTTTGGGAAAAAATTTGAAATCCATTCCCCCCCCCCTTTTTTCCTCCTCTTTTGCCTATATATCTAGGCCCCCCAGCTGTGTTTTGGAGGGTTAGAAGCCACCACCATCCATTCCAGCCACTTGGAGCTGTTTTCCAGAGCTAAGGAGCCACCAAACTTGGTCCAAGAGTTGTCAAAGATTTGGTCTTCAAGGGTAAGTCTTCTCCCCCCTATTTCTTGCCTTATTTTGCTCAATATATTAGCTCCTCTTGCTTGCATATTTGGGCTCCGACCCTAACTTAAAATAGCATTATTTTGAGCTCCTTTTCATGTTTGTTTAAGGGCCTCTCCCTGTTTGAGGTTTCCTTTTTACACTTGCTTCTTTACCTCCCTTGTATGCCTATTTCTTGCATAGTATTTTAGGCCTATTTTTAAACTGTTTTGAGCTTGGTTATAAACTGTAAAGTGGATTATTTTGAGCCCTTCTTCAACATTGTTGAAGAGCTCTTCACTGTTTGAGGCTTCCTTTTGTCACTTTCCTCTTTATCCCTCTTTTGGCCTTATTTTTGCATGTTTTGTTAGCCCCTTGAGCTTGTGTTTTTGGGCTCTGGTACGAACTATAAATAGCCTTATTTTGACCCCCTCTTAATGTTTGATCAACGGACTTTTTCTGTTTGAAGCTCCCTTTTTGCTCTTTGTGTTTAAACCTCTCTTTAGGCCTTATTTTGCATAGTATTTTAAGCTTGCATGTGCACTGTTTTGGGTTTTGTCACTAATTGTAAAATACCATGTTTTGAGCCCCTCTTCAACTTTGTTGAAGGGCTCTTGGCCATTTAGGGCCAGAAGCTGCTACTTGCTTCATTATCTCTCTTTTGGGGCCATTTTTGCATGTTAACTTAGCCCTATTTGTGTTCACTTTTTGGCCTTTCTTAAAACTGTAAATATTCTTTTTTTGGGACTATCTTGATTCTGTATTCACACTTCATGTTCGAATAATGCATGCTTTGCATAGCCATAGGTCATTCCATGTACCTAATTTCATGTTTCGGGTCTCATTCCATGTATCAGGTGCCATGTTTCCATGTTCTGGGGCCGTTTTGCATCATATTTTGCTACTGAAATTTGCATGCTAGTATGCCATATTCCATGCCTTGCCATGCCTTGTTAGAGTGGCATTTGTGCCTTCGGATCGGTCCTCGGTTTGCGTACATGTGTGCACGCATTTCGAGTGTCTCATTTTCATCTCATGGCTACTGATGTGAGTGTGGCTGTGGTCCACTCATGTTGGTGTAAGTCCATTGCGCATTGTGTATGCCATTTCATTTCATAGCAATGTGTATGCTAGGCCGTATGTTAGCGCATTGTGTATGCCATTTTATCTCGTGCATCGTGTAGGCCATTTCCTAGCATTGTGCATGATAGGTTGTATCTTAGTTGCATTTCATACATGTCATGCATATTGCATCGTGTTGGGGATAGGAGTTAGCCCGAGCACGGGAAACGAGGGACGTTTCGTACTTCGAGTGACGGAACGTATCTCAATTCCCAGTCACCGACACTCCGGATTATCCATGATGGAGTTTAGGTTTTGTTGTGTTTATATGTGCATTCATTTCATATTGAGTCGTGCAATTCGGCTCCTCGGCCATTATGCATCGATATGCGTGATTGGTGGCACGAGGATCGAGGAATACACTCCCTAAAGGGTAGTCATGCATACATATGTGAAAATACTTTGCCATGCCCCTTTCTTGCTCTCTGTTACAGCAAATCAAAAGTCAGCAGCCTTTCGGAGCTTGGCACGCATCCCAAGAACAATTACAAACAGAGGCTAATTGGGGCATCGCAAATGGATTTCCGCGCAAGGCAACCCGAACATGCATCATTCATCATTCGGATTAGAGTTGAGGCAGTCCCTGGCTTGCATGCCAATTTATTACTTTCCTAGTTAAATTTGTAAATTAATTAGGGTTTTGTACTTATTCAGACTGTATCATTCATTTGGGACTGTATATTATTTATTCGGACCCTCTGCGCGAGGGCAATGTTGTAATAAGTGTGCGTGTGTGTGATGTATGTCTTCCAACCCCACGTCTTTCTCCTTTTTATTTACCAGCTTATGATGGTTAGATTAGGGCATGTTTCAATTAGCATACAGTATGATAGCATGTTTGCATTCATTCATCTGTTTTGCATGCACCGGGCTCGGCACATCATACTAACTGCATTGTATTTTCAATTCCAAGTTGAATACATGTTAGTTGTAGCATTTCACATGCCATCTTTAGAATAGCCGAGCCTATCTTAGTTGCATTTTTGCATGTGCTGCATTAGGCACTTCTGTATAGTTAGGATCATGCATGGATTTCTAATCAGCTTCTGTTTTGGCTTGGAGTACTCGGTAAGTTTTATGCTTTAGCATCCTTGCATGCGTGTG